GTTGGAATATGTTGTTCATTAGTACAGATATGATTCTAGTGAATGTACGTGGAAGTCAACAAAGAATTTTGCAAATGCAACAAAGAGAGTTGAGGCTTTTTATTGATGACATCTTACTAGATGAGACATTATAATTGTTAAAGCCTTTGAGATAATGTAATCAAGATGAGGATCTTCAAGAACAACATATTTTTCCTGGAATAGATGGCAAGATATAACGTGTTTGATATCACGACCTTGGAAGAGACTTCTAATATTTGGTGATTTTATTAGAAGTAGGAACAACTCCTAATGTTGTTTCAAATGTTTTATTTGAAAAAAGTTATGAAGGCCTCAACAACAACCAAATAATAGGATGGTCTTTTTGTCTTGATATGGGACATTATCAATGGCTGAGAAGACTTATCAATGATCTTCAAAGAGAACAAAGATCAAAATATGTAGCAAATATAATTTGCTGCACCTTGGATTTTTTCAACATATGAAGAGTGCTCTTTATAGAACTTGTCTTTAGAAAGGGGAATAATGGCACAAACAGGTACATATATATATATATATATATATATATATATATGTATATATATATATATGTATATATATATATTTTAATATTTACCTATATGATTAAGTAAAAATAGATAAAAATAGATTTATTTCATAATATTTTCTAAAGAAGCTTCCTTAAAGCTCTATAGACAATACTTTAAATTTACATATATTTGTAGTTGATTAGTAGGTTAGAAACTTAATCAAGAAATTAATTATGCATTGGTAGCTTACAGAATAAGCTAATTATATGGCGTACATATAGAAAACTTGTCTTACAAATTGAGATACATGTCTTGCAAAGTCAACACATTTTAGAAGTTCTATAGGACATTACCATATAGTTCCTAGTTAAGAATATATATTGAGGCAAAAGTGAAGCCTTCTTTACTCTTATCAATATTTTTTTAGTCTTTAGTCTTGTTTCAAGACTTCTTAGTCTTATTGTCTTTGGCAATAGCCATTCTAGTTTAATACCATATCACCTTTGAGTGACTTTTTAATTCTTTTGAGTGATATAAGAGTGTATTAAGAATTTCCTTCTTCAAGATTCATATCCTTGACACCAGAGGATAACAAATGATTATTTATAACTTCTACATATAAAGATTTATTTTTCTTGAGTAATGATATTTGTTTTTAACAAAAGACTTCATCTATTTAACAAGTTGAATCTCTTGAATCTATCAAGAAAAAGATTGTGATTTTTTGGTTTTAAACAAACCTTTATTGTGAAATAAAATGAGAGATTTGAAGAGATAATAAGACATTTATTAGATATTATGCAAGATTTTAGCTACACAATTTTTATTATTATTCGAAAACCTTGTTTTTCAAGATATCATTCTTTTTAGCAATTATGCTCTTCATTTTGTGGTTGCATTGATTCTTTGGATAATATTAAACAACATGCTTAGATTCTCCACAATATAAGCATGAACTTTCTTGATGGCCTCAAGTTATTTTTTGCTCAAAGATTAGAAGATTAAAATGGCTATTGTTAAAGATAAGAAGACTAAAAAATCTTGAAACAAGACTAAGGACTAAAAAGGCCTTGACAAGAGTGAAGAATTCTTTATTCTTGCCTCTATATATACTATCCAATGAGGAACTACATGGCAATGTCCTACAAGGCCTCTAATACATGTCCAATTTGCAAGACACATGTCTTAACTTGCAAGACAAGTTTCCTATATGTGCCCTACTTTGTTAGCTTCTACCACAAGTTACTCACATATATAATACATGGCTAACTTGTTGGTCAAGTTTCTAATGTACTAATCAATTATTAATATGTATAAAATCAAATATAAGTCTATGAAGCTTTTAAGAAGCTCAGTCACAAGATAATATCAAATCTACCTAAATTTACCTTCTACTTAGTACTTTTTATTTAGGTAAATATGGATGTTTATAACATCTCTATACAACTTAACTAAAAAACATGCTTTTATACTTAAGGTATGTTTAGCAATCTAATATTTAACTCCAATAATAATTTAAAAATAGAATAAATTTAAAAATATTTTTTATATTTTTGGCAACCAAGTTCTTTTTTTTAAAATTGAAATAATTTTTTTAAAGTAAGTATTCTATTTATTTTTTTTAAAAAAACTCATGATTTGTATATTCATAAAATATTCATTATTTCCCTCTCAATATCTATTTTTTCTTAATGCAATGAAAGAAAAAAAAAATAGGCAAAAAAAAAAAAAAAAAAAAAAAAAACTAATAATTAGTTATCTACAAGAAGGTTACAAAGGGTGTAGCAATATCAATTGGAGATGAAATATTAACAATTCACTAAATATCAATAAATAAGCAAGTCAAAAATTCATCACTAATCAAACAAAATTTGTAAAATCTAATTTGAATTGCCAACACCTATTGCTGTATTATCTATGTAAACATGGAAATAAATAAAAATACTATTTAATACTATATAACTATATACTGTTGCTTATTTTTGGTGCATAAATAGAATCTTGCAATTATCTTTATTCCCCCCTTTGAATAATATATTTATTGTTTCTTTTCTACAATTTTTTTTAGAACTCCAAATATTTGAACGTACTCCAAAAAAAGGGTTGCAACATTATTTCGTACGGAAAGAAAGAAAACAAAGCATAAAAAATAAACACAACTTTTTCGAAAAACAAAGTTCATAGAATTCACAAACCCTACTCATGCGTTTTCAATTCAACAATTTTCAGCAAATAACAAATCAATCACACAATTGTTACAGGCGGAGAGTCCTAAGAGTATTAAGAATGTATAAAAGCTACTCACGAGCAAAGAAACTGCAACACAATTGATGCAGGACCACGCTGAAGACTCCAACCTCTCTGGCACGAAGTCTAAACTGTCGGTGATCAAGTCCCGAATGTCGGTATCCAACACGTCCCTTGTTTCCACCCAGTTTCTGCAAAACCTTTCGATGCTGTTTCCACGTCCAGTTACACTCCACATGCCAAGTTAAAATATCAGTGTGACGGTGGCAACCAGTGCATGGATAAGTCAACTTACAACCTGGTTGCAGAAAGTGCAAAAAGCTTGCGGTGATTGATTGTTAGGCGTTGCCGAAGTGGGTCAACAGTGTTGGGTTGGTGGAAGCTTCAACTGAGAGGGACAGGACAGTCACCGCAGCGGATCTCACATGGTGAGGCCTTTGCAGGGCAGCATGTGACGATAACCGCCCTGTGCGTCTTGGCATTGAGAAAGATGACAGGCGAACTTCATGGGCGAGGGTGGAGGTGGCAGACGCCCGGAGAATGGGCCTTAGCAACCTGGCTTCAAGTTAGTCATAGTATGGGGCTTGGAATTTAATGCGGAAAGCAAGGCAGGTCATTGCTTTTCAGCCTTTCAGCTCCTCCTCCTGCAGCCCCAATCATGCCCCCGGGTCATCATCGTTTTCTCCTAGGAGTATCAGTTTACTTCTTTTGTGCAGAAGCACAACCTTTCCGGGGCCCAGGAGCCGTGCTCACTGGTGAAGAATGCCGATGAGCAGTACAATTATCCGTCTTGTTTTATGGCCGCTAAGCGATTCTCGCCATTAACCCGTCGACCGGAATGCAGTTTTGTTCTTCGGAGATGTTGTACATGATCACTGAGATGAAGATCTTGCGAGCACGATGTGTCGAGAGCGGATTCTGACATTGTTGAATAATGTGTGCACAGGTTGGTCATAAATCATGACCCTCGAAACGGTTGAAGGCTTGCCTACTGATTGGAGTGCACTATAAATGGATTGTGCAGAGTTTATCAATGGCTTCCACGTGAGTTTCTGTGTCGATTCTGTCACGCATCATGATGATTCTCGAACCCTGGGATCGTTTGGGGAACGCAAGCGGAAGAAGGCAAGCTTGTCTCAGGAAGAGGTGAACCCTTCTGTATCCAGGCTTCAGTGAATGCCTTGACTACAATTCTTTTGTAAATACTAATGCTTACCCAACTTGGACACTCCACAAATCTCTTGAGAAATTAACTAATGTGCTATGAGTAGGGAGATTATGGCAAGATTAGTGAACTCTTCTCTGGATCTTTGGTTATCAATCTTTAAGACACCAAGTAAAATGATCTATTCTGGATTGTGCAGAGTTTATCAATTGGAGTGCACTATAAATGAATTGTGCAGAGTCTATAAGAATGTTGCAAGGAGGTGAACAGGGCTCAAGACTCTCAACCTTTCTGCTGAGTTTGCACTAACACAGAGTTAGTTACAATGCAAGTGACTTGGATGGGTGTAAAGACAGACTAGGAAAGATCCCACCACCAGTCAGTCATAGCTAGCACTAGTGCCTGCCATTCTTTTCGTGAAATGTTATTCCGACTTTCATCGCCTAATTGCTCGCTATACATCACGGAAATTGATGAATCATCATTCGAGTTCTACTCCATATCTCACTCAATCTACACATTCCAGTCAGATGTTTGAACATTCACAGAATTCCACCAATTTCTTTTCATGCCTCCAGCATTAAAAATGACTCCCATGGAGACGTCTTTCTGGTTCATCAGTCAATTTTACTAAATGTCTGCTTTTATTGAAGACCTGATACCTCAGTCAAGTCACATCCGTCTGAGCGACCGTTATACGAAGAGAACAATGCTAATCATGTTTAAATCACACAATATCAGTTAATCTGGCCATGGCTGAATAGAATCAAGGCGGGAGCAGCTCGGCCGTTGTTTCAGCAATACTGACATTGATGGTGCACCTGCTTTAGGCACAGAATTTATGCTCTTCGAGGACAGCTCGAAGTTGTGCTTGTCTACTGTACTCATCTGTCCTTAGTCCACCAGCTGCCGGACTGCAAAGAGAGTTGGTGCTTTTTGGACTGTTGCAATGTCATGGCTACTATATCAGCCCCGGATTCGCACACTTCGATCAGTCCTCCCCAGTTTTTCGCACTTCGTTCAATCACCTGCATTCCACCCCCTCGCAACAGACCAAGATGAAGGGATTCCAAGTCCTCAGGCTTGTGGTGGCGATTCTCGTCATCAGCTCTAGTCTGTCACTCGCTAGAGTTCTCGACGATGGGATTTCCAATCAGAAGTTCAAGTTGCCTACATTGCCGAGCTGCCCACCTCCTCCCGAATCCCCAGTCTACGAGTCTCCTCCCTACGCCTCTCCTTCTCCAGTTTACGAGTCGCCGCCTTACTCCCCCTCCCCTGTCTATGAGTCTCCTCCATCACCCACTTACTCTCCTTCTCCAGTTTATAAGTCTCCTACTTACAGCCCTTCTCCAGTTTACAAGTCTCCACCATCGCCCTCATACAGCCCATCTCCAGTCTACAAGTCTCCTCCAGCTGGAGGTTACTAGAAGTCTGCAATTAGCCAAGTCACGCAGGTAGCTGAGGTAAGCGAACATTGTTTAATTCTTTTTAATTTTACATCTGTTTGGGTTATAAGAGTCAATATATTCTTGCATACTCGCACTGCTTGTATTGGGTGGCAGGTAAAACCGAAATAGCCCAGTGGCAATTATATAACTTGACTTGATTTGTTTCTTCTTGCTTCAGATTTTGTTGGTAAGTCGTTGGGTTTGCTGGGTGGACCAAACACATGTACACAAGAACTTGATGATCGACTTGAGCGCGCAACTAAAATAAATGTTTTGTGACTTGAGACATCAGCTTGTCGGGTGAAGTCTTTCCATGTCGACACTAGACAGCTACACTTGACGAGAAATAAGTGCTGAGAGATGGACGGTAGATTTTGTACCAATTAGTGCCCAGATTTTGCTACTGAAGCGTAGTACGTGATTTGAGTACTAGGCATTAATTCATCAGAACTAATAAAGACCACAGAACGGTGGACATTCGGAACATAACCATTTCTGTGGTCTAGTTTTACAAGTTTGTGAACCATCGATGCTGCTGTGTTTGTTGCTACATGATGGACAGTGAAGTATGTATCGCATCAAAGCGACTAGATGGACTATACCAAATCATCTGAGCACACCATTTTCGATTTTGATTGCTATAACAATGGTGAACGTGAAGACCAAATTCATTGTTGCATTCACGCTGCCACACATTAAGGTTTAGCTGGCAGACCACCCCACTCCTCGGGAACCCAAATCTCGACCGCTAAACATGAGAACCTTGTCACCAGTCTGGCGTCAACGTCGCAAAGAGTCAGTATTTCAGCAACGATGAATCCAGCAATATAATTACTAAATGGATCCATTTACTGGGATTCAAAATTTACTATCACAAGGAAACAGAGAAGCACGAGTCAGAGCATCACCAGTTTCTCAATCTTTTTTTTTAGAAGGTGAGAATTCAACAATGGTCGAACGTATCATTGAAACTTGACACAGATATCCTCAGCTCCTTCACAGATCCTTGGTTTGCGCTTCTTCAAGAGTAGTGACATCTAACATGCGTGGATCAGGAAACAAGGGAGCTGTGCTATCCCGGCTGATGACACACACACACACACACAAGAATCTTCATGTTGGATCCACAACTGTACACTGCTAGAATTAAATTGGATGGAACTGCTGGCGATGGCATTTGCAAGTGGGGTATCACAGTTGCAAGGAGGAAGCTAGCAAAGTCTTTCTAATCGACATCAGCTTATATAGCATCTTTAGTGCCGAACCTACACAATGGCAGCACCGCATCTGCAGGGTTTTGCTCGGTTCTACAACATCAGTCTTACTCTGCTGCCAGTTGGTTTGGTTTTAAAAAATAGATTTGGAATTGACAGATAGATTGTTATTGCTAATAAATCGGGTTTTAATAGATAGATTTGTTGATGCCATCAAAAGTTGAGTGAATTAACCGTCCTGTCTGCCACGATTTATTGCCGATCTAACTGTCAAACTTTTGTTTTTGTTTCTGAGCTTTAAACCAAAGCTTATAGAAGACCCAGAGGGTTGTATGCTTTTCTTGACATTCTGTTATTGTTATTATTATTTTGTTTATATAAAAAAATATATATGCATAATAATAGGGTATCCAACATCAATTCAAAATGTTTTTGAATAACAGACCACAATGTTTTGCAATCCATGTTATGATATTCCATGTTAAATGCTTATATCTTTATTAGATTTAATAAGATTGCAATACAAAATATTACATGGAATAAACAAATAAGCTATAGATATATCCAACCATTGACAATAGAAATTAAAATGATAACAAAGTAATTGTAAGACTTATGATTGTGCAATATTATTTGAAATTTGTCAATTATTATTGTAACTTTATAGAGAATTTTTTTCAAATTGAAGCTCCACTTACACCTTTGACTTGTAAATACAAACTTAAGTAGAATAAAGAAGCTAAAAAAAACATTTGAAGCTTTAAAGATAGCTTTTGATTCCACATTAATCTTGTATCATGTCAACTTTTTCAAGTCAGTTTTTTTATAGAAACATATGTATCATACTTTCTTTTAGATGTAGTACTATTACAAATAATAGCAAATGGTATACTTCATTTAGTAGCTTTTTTTTGAGAAAATTTTCAGCAATTGAAATCAACTATAAAATCTATAACAAAGAGCTTTTTAGAATTATGGATTCATTTAAAGAACAACACCATTATCTCTAAGGCACTTCTAATCTAACATTACTATCATAAGAACCTCAAGTATTTCATATCAACATGTTGTCGTATTATATAAAGCCTCACTTAAAAATACATCAAGTACTTGGCTATGGATTATGAAATAAAAATTACAACAATAAGGTCTTAATAATTCTAATAGAATCTTAAACAAACCTCAATTAAAGTTCAATAATTTTAATCAAACTTTGATCAAATCTATTTGAAATATTAAAGATATTACAAAAAATATATTAAAAAAACTTTTAAAAATATCAAAATAAAAATCATAATTAAATCCTAATTAAATTCTAAATCCTAAATAAATCTTAGTTAAATTCTAAATCCTAAATCAAAACCTCGTTAAACCTTAAATATTAAACTAAAACATAATAAAATCTTAAATCCTAAACCAAATCCTTATAAAATCCTAAAATCTAAATAAATCCAAATGAAATCCTAATCAAATTTTTAATCTTAAATAATTCTTATTTAATCTAATAATAGATTAAAATATCAATAATTAATAATATAATAATAAATTTTGAATCAAAATTTTTATATATCTTAATTATTAATTTGACAACAATCACAAATAATTTCAAGAAGATTGTACTTATCAAATAAATGATAAGTTCTAAAATCCACTTAGATGTTGACCACATTTCTTTTTCAACCTTGATTTCAATGTTCTAGCACCTCTTAATTTAACCATTCAATATCATTCAAGCTTTTCAAAAATATTAAAAAATAAATCAACTATATTATGTAATATTATAATTCAATTCAATTAAAAAATTGATATAATTTTTAGAAATATTTATTAATTCTCTAAACTCTAATTCATGAAACATCAATATATTTGAATTTCAATAACCTTTAAATGAATTGTTAAATTAAGCTAAATTTTTATGACATAAATTTAATAAAAAATCAATCATTTAATACAAATTTTCATTCATAGACCATATACCAAGCTCACAAAATTCTTCAAATTATAAGCTCTTTATATTTTTTGAAAATCCAAAGTTATTATAAAATAACTATAGCTTTGCAAAGTCTTTACAAAATCAATAGAAATCCAAATTACTTCAAATCAATGCTAAAAAAACCTTTTATTTTTTTTTCTCTCAAACCCTACTCTTTCATCAACCAAAGAACTTTAGAATTGGTGTAGATGCATCATTTTATGCCTCAAGATTTGATTTCTATCTTGGTTCACAATTAGTCCTCTTCAGGTATCAATATATAATTTTTTAAGATAATTTTTGCTAAAAAATACTTTTAAGTTTTTCCTAAAGATTCTTACATTATTTTTCTTTTATTTACTTTGATATGCTTTATTTATGGATCTACAAAATAAGTAAAAGTTATTTTTATAAAAAAAAATATTAGTAATTATTAATTTTTAGTACCTCTTTATCTATTATTTATATTTTAAAGATAATTTGCTACAATATTTTCTTTTAAGCTCTACTATAATATAATTATTATTTTTCCTTTATCTAATGGCCATGTTACAATACAACAGCATATTCTAAATTATTGCTAAATCTATTGAAACATGTCTTTATCAAGATTTGAATTCAAGATTACTTAGTGACCAAGACAATAATATAGTTTATCATATATCTTTTTTGAATGTTCTTATCTTGTACCAAAAGAAAAAAAAATATAGATTTTAATAGACAACGAATAATTCTTTTAAAGATAAAGTAATTTCATTTATAAGCAAAGAAATTAACATTAATAATTGATTTAATATTCTTTAAGCAAGTTAAATCAAGTTATGTCTTAAAAACTTTTTATTTATGATATTAAAAATAATCTATCTAAATTTTATAATATTTTTAAGTTTGAGTTTAAGAGCAATCTTTTCTATTTCAAAAGATGCTTATATCTTATGGAAGGTTAAATATGATTACGTGCTCTTCAAACTCATTATACCTTCTCAACTGCAAGACATTTTGGATATTACAAGACTTAAGAGATAATATCTAGAGATTTATATTAGCCTCAAATATTGAAGGCAATTAAAACTTTTGTGCAATTATGTAATACTTTTTCAAGATTGAAAACTCCTCATCATCAAATTTATGGACTTTTTTAGCCATTACCTATATTAGAATAACTATGGTCTTTTATTTCTATGGATTTTATCATAGATCTTTGAATTTCAAGTTTTTACAAATCTATAATTGTGATAGTAGATTGTTTCAGCAAGATGGTATATTTAATACTATATACAAAAATTATTATCCATTATCTAATTATTTACTAATAGAAGTATATATCCAATTCTACTAATCTTCTACAAAGAAATCTTTATATAAAATGAATTCTTACAATTGCAAGGATCTAAAGGTTATAATTTAAGCATATAAAATTTTGTATAGTTCAAATTAAAGAAGATATTGCTAATATAAAAATATATAATTTATTAAATTTTACAAAAAAAATATGAAATTCAATAAAAATAAAATAAAAAGAGATAAAAAGAATTATTTTATTAATTTAAAAGGTATAAAATAGATGTATCCTACAAGCTTTAAAAAAACTAAATAAAATTAGAAAGATTTAAAGATTAGTAATACAAAGGTATTGACATTAGAAAAATAATAAGATAGAAATCTTATAGCTATAAGTATAAAAATAATTTATATAAAGGATTAAAATATATAGTTCTAAGACTAATTTTTTTAGAATTCATAATAACAAAAGAAATCAAGGTAAATAAAATAAATATACAAAGAAAGTTTGT